ATATAGAACTCGCTTGAAATATTTTTTAGGATATTTAAGATATAACCTTTTCTTTAAAAAAATACATTTTCCAAATTTAAAAGTTTGTTAATCATAAAAATATCCTCCAATTTTTCAAATTAAAAAGGAGAGAATTGTTGTAACAAAGTAAAATTTTATTGTTGAGATTAAGCTGAGAATGAGAATTAATAAATGGAATTTAAATTCTTGCTATGAATATAACATTGGAATATACTAATACTTTAATCTCTATTAATTTCTAATTAGATAAGTTTGAAAGTCAAAATATCCTAATTTCATCATTTTATTAACACATATTGCTAACATGTCCAATAATATCAACTTACAATGAGCAAAAGATTTAATAAACTTTAAATGAATTTAATTTAAAGTTTTTGGAGATATTTGAATCAAATGATCAAATAAATAAAATTTGTAAAATTCCTTGTAATATGAAGCTCAAAAAGTGAATTTCTTTATTTGATTAATTAAACTCTTTTATTTTGTTTATTTCAAATAAAAATTTTACTCATATTTAGAGCATAAATTTTTGTGAAAAAAATATTGACAATGAATTGAATTGCACAAAGATTTGAAAATTCCATTTATACGGACACTTAAGCAAAATCTCTTTATGTATTTCATCTTGAAACTATTTCAATCTTGTGAAAACTTAAAAATTATGAGTTTTGATTCCCTTTCAAACTCCATTTTATTTTGAATACTATAATAAAGTTATTTTTAACATAATATATCTTTTTTTTGGTCTATAACAATTGATCTGAATAAACAATAATGTGTCACAGAAAAATCAAAATAATTTAAGATAATAAAAATTAACTAATTATTAATAATTATTTTTGTTATAAATCTAAAATAATGTTTATAAATTTATAAAAAGATTTATTTTAAAAGTTAAACCCTCAAATTATATTATTAATAAATTATATATTTAGTTCAATTATAGTTAATCTTTAATTTCTTACTGAAGAATTATTTGATAGTGAATTCTATTTATGTGTTCAATTAAAACATTTATTCTAATAAATTATCAAGTTTATATAAATCAATTTATATTTAATCAGAATAGAATAAAACTTGTAAAAATTTTCTTAATTAATAAATGAACAATAATAAATTTATGATGATGTTATGATTATAATACATAAATATTTTAATACACAGTTCACATTAACATATTGTGATTTTATAGTGATGAAAAAAAAATCCAATTTAAGGAAATAAAAACTTAAATATTATAAGTATTAGAAATTATTAAAATGTATAAAGTATTGATTCCATTTTCATAGTGTTACAGAAATTAATCATTAAAATCAATGAATATTAGATTTTATGAACTTTGATTTATAGGGAGTTAATAATGAAGAGTCAATTTTAATAATTAATTGCATAGAATTTTCATTTGTAATAATTTATAGTTGTCAAAAGTGATTTGAGAGATTAATAATTAATTTGATTGAGATTATCATAAAGTTTTTATTATTTTTATTAATTTATTAAATTTTATCTTTTTCATTTTACTAATATATATTTTTTACATCTTTATTAGGAAATTTATATGGACTTTGCTTTTTAATTTTTCTTATTGATAATTTTTAAATTAAATTTATCAACAAACTTACATTTTTTCTAATTAAGAGCTTTTTACATAATTTAATTAATTTTGGATTTTATTATTCATAAAATATTATTGTTCTATCCTTAATTCTGTATATTGTTATACTTTTATTTTATTAAGAAATATTGATTATTTAAATCTATAACTTTAACATCTTTTAACTATAATTATAAGTCTTGTTTATAATTTTGTATTTAAATACTTTGGCAATAAAAACTAGCAATTTCATTTTCTACCAAAAGTTCTAACTATGATCTATTGGTATATTTGGGAATCTTTACTAGAAAAAGTTGTTACATAAGTAATTTTTTAATACAAATCAACTTTTCTGCAAATATGAATAGACTTATAATGAATTAGATTTAAATATTTAAAGTTAACAATTATGGTTTTCTATCGTTTTAAAAATAGTATTCTTTTTTTTGTGCAAGAATTTAAAAAGAATATTTTATAATTAATAAGAATTATTTTCAAGATTCTTCCTTTTATTATGAGAAATTATTGGAGTCATTACTAATGATTTAAGACTTAATAAAGAAAATACTGCATTTATCCATAAATAATTTAATAACATTTTGATAAAATACCTTCTAAATTTAAAATATTAACATTATGAATAGGAACTTCTTAAAAATTGTAGCATGGTTTATGAAAACTATAGGTTGATCATTATTACAAAAGAATAAAACAATCCATTCCTTAAGATGTAATTCTTAGGGAAGTATAAAGAACAGGATGAATCGATAAATAAGAAAGGAATGATTAAACGAATGGTCGATTTCTGATTATACTATTAAGCTAAATGTGGAACAAGAGAATACCTAGAGAAACTAATGAAGAAGAACCAAATTAAGCAAAAAAAGGATGGCAAATGGACTAAATATCAAATATTGGAATCCTATAATAATGAACCCAAATGTGAAAGTAACAAGAAGTAGGTAATGTAATAGTTTTTTTATATTTTTTTTTTAAAGAAGATTTTAAGGATATTTTGATTAATTATGATTGAGTAGAAATTTAGTTGTATCCTTACAGGCTAAGAGTTTATCATGTTCAATAAGCCTATTTTAAGATTTGCAATCTCTTCTGGAAACATAGAAAGCGAAGATACTAATCCAATTTGTTAATAATAGAAGATGATAATTGCATCAACTCCTTCAAGATTTGGATTCCCTAAACCATTTTTTAGGGGTTTTGGATTCCATAATATGATTGTTTGTAGAAGGTAATCTACTATGTATAAAATCTTTATTAGATTTTTTTGAAATTATGTCTTGATTGTATTAGTTCTATATTTTAAATTAACTTTGAAAATAAACAAATATAAAAATAAGTTCTTAAATTATTTTGGATTAGCCTTAAGGAGTAAAATGAAGGAGATAATTTCTTAGTATTTGAATGATGGGGAATGAATGATCAAATAAATTAATAAAATTGATTAGATCCATTATTTCATGATATTGATAAAATTTATTCATTAATACTGCAATATTAAATTTGAATCATAAATAAATTATTGGCCGAGATCATAATATTAATTGAAAAGCAAATTCAATAGGGATGCTAATATTTGGGGTTGATTTGCTGAATCAATAAAAATATTAAATGCATTAATGATGCAAAAATCAACTATTTTCATTAAAGAGCAAAAATAAATACAAAGTTTATTAATAAATATCATTTTGATCCGAAGATAAATATTTAAAGATATATTAATTGATTGATACTTTTTACTCATCTTGTAAATCCTTATTATTTCCAATTGCTTTTGGATTTATTGATCATAAAAAACAGATATTTTAGATTCTTATGTAAATAAGATAAAAAAGAATTATGAAAAATCATGGTTTTAGACTTTTGAGCATTAATGATAATTATTTTGGAAATTTATTTTTATTATTAATTTTTCAAGGAAGATAACGTTTAGAACTGGCCAATTTGGATACGAATTAATTATGTAATAATTAATGGAATCTAAATCTATTATACTACACATAAATGATTAATAGATATCGAAAAAGTACTTCGAGAGTATTTAATGAATACTGTTTGTATTAATTGGAGAGATAGATGTTAATAGTATTCCACTTAATTTAAAGTTACTCTTTGAAAATTTTCATCAAAGATCGGATGGACAAGGAAGAGGATATCATTTCTTTTAATGGATGGACTAGCTAATTACATTAATTTTATATGAAATTTATGATTGAGATCATGTTTATAATTATAATATTTCAAATTAAAATTAGACTTAAGAATATCACAAGATTTAAATTAGATTATAATAATATTAGAAAATTATTATGATTTAAAAATAATTTGTACATGATATACTCTCATCATTAAAATAGATTATTTTTTAATTTATAAGTTTTGATGTTTAATTTTAGAGTTATAATTTCTCAAATAATGGATAAAAAAAATATATTTCGCACTATGTTCATATAATATTTAGATCATAATAATTAATAATTTAATATGAAATTTAGTTACTTTATTTTTTTTCTTCTATTTTTCTCATTAGGGTTTGGGTTTGGGGTTGG